GTGCTGAGGTAGAGGTGATGGGCGCGCATGGTCGATGTTGGTGGGTGATGTGGGGGTGGGATGGCGGAGGACGCCACCCACCACTGCCACCCACCTACAGCTGGTCACCCCCCTGGCGTGGCGGCGGCGGTTCCTACGTTATTATGGTGTTGGTGGGAGTCCTCCTGGTGTGTTGTAGCCCCGGGTCAGCCCAGGGTGACACCACCACCACCACCAGCAGCAGCCTGCCCGCCCAGCCGTCATCCACCGCTCTCTACGACAACACCTCCCTCGTCATCACCGACTGGTCGAGCAACCCGTCGTCCAGCAGCCTCGTCACCGCCGCCTACACCACCATAAAACCCGATCACGGCCTCAACTGGAGTGTTAACTGCGACACAGACAAAACGTGGCCCAGGGTGGATGTAAGTAACCTCCCCTACGTCTCCTACCACCTGCTCCTAGCAGCCCCGGCTCTCAATACGTCCCATTCTGTACGTTATGGTCCCGCCCGTTCTCATGAGCGTTCCCAACGTCAGGAAACTGGTGTGCTAAAGTCGCTTGTCCTAAACTACCACAGGACCCGCCAACAGAAAATGGGACATTGTGTCAATTTCGCGAGGTGCTGCCATTTTCTAGTGCGGCAGTTTTTGGACTTAAAGTATACGTCAAAATGCGACGTGCTATTAGGAGGACGAGTTGTATTGTCCCCAACATACAAAATACAATGTATTAAGATAAGTACCACTTACAAATATTCCCATTTTCTATGATTTGGCGGGTTAGGTTCGGTAGGTGGCTTGGGCTCTTACATTTCTGGTTAGGTTAGGACCCTGTATTTTGTACGTTGTGGCAAATCGAGAGGCCGGACTGCTGTACAGGTGTGGTCTTAGCTGTCTTATGAAGGGTTTGGCGTGATATAGGGAAATAAGGAGACGTGGCTTAAGGAGGTAGTTTGTGAAGGCAAGTATGAGAAGAGCGCTGAGCCACTACTGACTACACCACACTTGTGAGGGGTATGAAGACAAGCACTCAGGATATGAAGACTGGGGAAGGGAACGGTGCCCAATCACTTCCACCATCGGGTATCATCTTGACGGCCTTGCAAGATGCAAGGCTGGGCCGGAGTAGAACAACTCCCAGAACCCATTCCAGTGTTGCAAACGTAACCTTGGTAATGGCTGGGAACAGAGGTGAGAAAGATCAGCATAGGGGAAGGAAGAGTGAGAGAGATAGGGAGAGAGGTGGAGGAGAAAAACTGAAAGGGAAAGTGTAGAGAGAGAGATGGGATGGGAGGGTAAACTGAGTAAGAGTGCGGCTTAACATAGCATGCCGTGACCTAAGTTACCGTAGTCTATCTTGCTATGACGGTTACCCGGCTTACTCTGCCTTGAACAGGTCTGACACGATGGTTCCCCCTAACTTGACCCAAGTGGGTCCCTGTCTAGCGTGTTCGTCTGCCACACCTTCCGTGACCTAACACATCTTTCCGTTGACAGGACAAATCGAAGAGCATCCTGGTGGGTTTTCTGCCGACGCGGGTGGGGGACAGGAGGGAGCGCCTGGGACTCAAGATCCCCGGTGCCTTCACTTACGCGGTTGAGAACGTCAACAACAAATCTATCCTTCCTGACAACTACATCTTGAGTTTTGAGGTAAATATGCCGTGTCTCGTTCTCTGTTGTGTCTCCTCCTTCACTGTTTCTCATCTACAACTCTCCCTTCTTCATTTATTTACCTTGCACTGTGTCCACACATCTTTATAGCCTGTCTTGAGTCACATACGTGCTCATATTTGTGCGTGCCGTTTATGTGTAAGTAAAGTATTGCTGTAGTATTATTTAGTTCATAACGCGGCTACATTTAATTAATACTTTCAAAGAGAGAGCGAGTGTATATGTACATGTGCATATGTTCAGTCATGCGCCGTGGTGTATGTGCTTGGTCATGTCATTCAGTATTAATCAAACTATGTATAGTTTGGTTAATACTCAAAGATCCAGTATTTAAAGAGTATGGTATAACCCACCATACTCCTTGAATATTGTCGCCCAAAATCACGTGTATTACATGTTGGGACTCCGCCATATTTATTGATGTGTACACGTGTCCAACGTCCATGCCTGAAGTGCATTGCATGTTGCAGGTGCAAGACACCGAGGGAAAGGAGGACCTGAGCAGCAAACACGTGGTGGACATGCTGTGTAAGGGCGTCTCCGCTATCTTCGGGCCAGAACACACCTGCTACGTCGAGGGCACCATCGCCCAGGGCAAGAATCTCCCCATGATCTCCTACGTGAGTGTTGGTTAATGCTTCTCTCTCTCCCTCATTCTCTGTGTTGTGGAGTGTCTTTGGCTTTTCCAAGAGTGTTTTCTAACGTATTTTTTTTTAATTTTGCACCAAAGAATCGAGTTTATTATAGAGCATCACTCGTCCTGTGAGTGAACATGTCGCCATTGCAGCATGTACAACACCCCCCCAATAGGAAGACAGCCAGCTAGGTTGTTCATCTTGTCACTTGTACACACACACACACAGCTGTCACTTACCTGCCTCAAGTGAATAGTTGATCAAACAAGAAGAGTAACATTTACCAACCTTTAAATATAAGTCAGACATGTTTATGGGTGTGAGAGGTTTGTGTAGTGTTAGTCTTTGCTACTAGTGGGCCTACCCAATATGTACCCAATATGTACCCAATATGTACCCAAACACATATTGTGTTTGTTGTTGTACTCTCCCAGCTGTGTGTACAGGGTTGACAAACAGCTTCCTTGTTCATGTTTCCATCTCAATGTTGCTTATTACCACGATTTTCATGTCACAGTTTTCTCTAGATATTTACTTTTGAAGTTGGTTATGGAATTTGCCTCAGCGATCTCCTTCTGTAGCCGGCTTGATACACCTGCGACTCTTGTAGTGGTTTGCCCTGACTTTCCCTGTGTCTCCAGTCTCCACCCGGACCCTCAAGTTCCACCCTTTCTCACAAGAAACACTCATAGAGGCACGGACCAACCGACCTCTGGTCCATGCGTCTTTGGTTCGATTTCCGGGTAAAGCGAAACGTTTTGGCTTATCTCTCTCTCCCTTCACCTCGCGCCCATGTTTACCTATCTTGAGGTTATCTTGAGATGATTTCGGGGCTTTAGTGTCCCCGCGGCCCGGTCCTCGACCAGGCCTCCACCCCCAGGAAGCAGCCTGTGACAGCTGACTGACACCCAGGTACCTATTTTACTGCTAGGTAACAGGGGCATAGGGTGAAAGAAACTCTGCCCATTGTTTCTCGCCAGCGCCTGGGATCGAACCCAGGACCACAGGATCACAAGCCCAGTGTGCTGTCCGCTCGGCCGACCGGCTCCCCCTAGCAGTAAATACTTACCCAGAAGGTAGGCGCCTTTTGGCTCCATCCTGGGGAAGGCGAGTCGGCTACCCTGGGGCAGGGGCGAGGAACTTGCTCGAGCGTTATCTTGAGGTTATCTTGAGATGATTTCGGGCCTTAGCGTCCCCGCGGCCCGGTCCTCGACCCGGCCTCCTTTTTGTTACACCCCTGCCCCCCCCCCCAGGAAGCAGCCCGTAGCAGCTGTCTAACTCCCAGGTACCTATTTACTATTTACTGCTAGGTTACTGCCCCTGATGGTAACAGGGGCATCAGGGTGAAATAAACTCTGCCCATTTGTTTCCGCCTCCACCGGGGATCGAACCCGGAACCTCGGGACTATGTTCCGAAATGCTATCCACTCAGCTGTCAGGTAGCGTGTGCCCAAGTTGGCGATATATTCCTGTACACAATGCTTCAGCCTGCCCACGGGGGAGGAACAAAATGCTTGAATTCTTCTGAATTGATTTTCAACAGATAGATTTAGGAATGACATGTTCTTAATAACGTAGTAATTTACAAGAAAATTTATTATACAGTGTCAATACTAATAAAGCATTTTTAATAAAATACGACGAGTCTTTTTTTACTTATTTACGTGTATTCATAGTTTTACTATTACCAAAAGTATAAGAAAGAGATTGAAATAAATTAAAGTATTTTAGAAAGCCGATTCTAAACATTGTTTATTATCAAAGTGCTTAAAAAATAATATAAACGTACTCCTAATTTATAAGTAGTATTGTTATTATACCTTTGAAGCAACACAAGAAATCCAGGAAAGAAAAATCAGATTATTTTACGACAAGTGAAACGTTTCGTGCCGTGCCAGCGACGACAGTTTTGTACCAGGTTTGTAATGGGTCATTGTGTGCCGTGCAGATATGTTTTTCCACACGTGACGGGGGGGGGGGGGGGCGTGGCACCCTGCAAGTCCAGTCCAGTCCAGTCCGGCCCATTGTGTTCATCATCGGACTTTACACGTCACTGCTGCTGCTGCTCGAGTTAATCTCGCGTGTAATAAGGCCCATTAAGCTCTTATTTCCACGTTATATAAGAGTTAAAGTTAATAATAACCTATACATCTAACTTGCTGTAGTCACGCCCTTGGTGTTGTGTAGTTTTGGTCGCCATACTACAGTGTAAGTCAGTTGATGTATTATGTAGCCAAGATCCGTCCTGTGAGCGGTGGTGGACCCCCCATGATCATGCTCTAACTAGTAGTAGACCCGAAACTAATCCTGTGACCATGGGTGGACACTATACCCATTCCTTGAGTGATAGTGGACCCCCAAACCCATCCTGTGAGTGGTACTGAATTTTAAACTCATCCTGTGAGTGGTAGTAGTGGACGTCAAGCCATTCTGTGAATGGTAGTGGAGGATCACATACCCATCCTGTGAGTAGGAGTGGACCAACAATTCAGAGGCACATAATGGGCACAGGAACTGAACCGCAAAATGCATTTAGCCAAGCACCTTAAAGCACCTTAAAGCATTAATAAGCTTGATACCGAAGTTCGTTGACAAATACAGTTTCTCAGTCCCTACAGACTGGAGGCACAGCCACTTTCGAGAGCTTGAAGTGGAGGACGTACCTTACGTACTTACGTACGTAAATACGGACCTTACGTACCTTGAGGTTAACGTGAGGTGATTTTGGGGCTTAGCGACCCCGCGGCCCGATCGTCGACCAGGCCTCCTCGTTGCTGAACTGGTCAACCAGGCTGTTGGACGCGGCAGCTCGCAGCCTGACGTATAAGTCACAGCCTGGTTGATCAGGCATCCTTTGGAGTCATACGACAGTCATACATACTACCCACCATCAAGGGCAAGTAGAATGGGTCATACGATCCTCGTGAAGCCAGATCAAGAGAACTGCAGTATACTCGTTTGAGTATACTGAGGTGTAAACAAAACAAGATGAAGCAAAAATGGCTTTCCTTCACAAAGAAGAACAGTGTTAGAAGGCTGGGAATCTCCAATCAAAACACAATCTGCCAAGTGGCTCCATTGAGGCGAGGAGCTGGTGCAGATTTAAGAATCAGTCTCCGTGGTGTAGTGGTAAGACACTCGCCTGGCGTTCCGCGAGCGCTATGTCATGGGTTCGTATCCTGGCCGGGGAGGATTTACTGGGCGCAATTCCTTAACTGTAGCCTCTGTTTAACGCAACAGTAAAATGTGTACTTGGATGAAAAAACGATTCTTCGCGGCAGGGGATCGTATTCCAGGGACCTGCCCGAAACGCTACGCGTACTAGTGGCTGTACAAGAATGTAACAACTCTTGTATATATCTCAAAAAAAAAAAAAAAAAAATCAGTTGGAGAGTTTCACCCCGAGAGTGAAAATGGTTGTGTGTGTGTGTGTGTGTGTGTGTGTGTGTGTGTGTGTGTGTGTGTGTGTGTGTGTGTTCACTGGACTTTCCAGACCAAGGTCACTGACAGTGCCCACATGAGCCTTATCTGTGAGCTTTTTGCCATTAAATCATTAGCTTTCATGACGGTAAATTAGCACTTCAACACAAAATCAATCGCAGGCATGTAATGGAACGCGTAATTAGTAAATATATCAACACAAAATAGGACACGAAACAATGGATATCAATTGGATGAGATGAGATTGGTGAAGGCATTGAACACCACCCGTGTGAGCCGGGTCCCAGAGCTGAGGTGTATCTCACAAATCCGGTCCCAGGGATAACAAGTATCTCAAAGTGGATTCCAGAACTGAGAGGCATCCCACAAGGCGGGTCCCTAGAGCTAAGAGGCATCCCACAAGGCGGGTCCCTAGAGCTAAGAGGCATCCCACAAGGCGGGTCCCTAGAGCTAAGAGGCATCCCACAAGGCGGGTCCCTAGAGCTAAGAGGCATCCCACCCAGACGACCGACAGGTTTGGAAACGACACAAGAGACCAAGAAGTCGATGTAGAATGAGGATAGGTAAATAGATAGAGAGATAGATAAGCGAGTACACTGTAGGTAGCCGCGGTCCTGCTACACGTGGGTTTATATAACCGGCAGAGGACGGAGGTCAGGCCTGAGGGCACACTTCTGGAAGATTCCTCCTCGCCAGCGTCTTCCTCGTCTGGCTATATATAGATCCCTGTGGGTCGAGTCGCGTTGTTATGCAAGTCAAACTTATTATTGTAAGGCTAATATTTTTTTTTTTGGGGTGTGTTGAATATTGTCTTTACATGTTTTCCGTCCAGATCTTCTTGCTTTCCTGGTGGGTATTCTCTGTTTGTGTTTTTTTTTACAGCATTTACTATCTTTATTCTTGATATTGTCACGTAGTTAGGTGCTATTGTTTACTCGTAGTAGGGAGTGTTTCATGCGTCGTATAAAGATAATTGTTGACTCAAATGATAAAAAAATTAATTATTACAATTATCGTACAGCTGCGTGAGGGGGTGCTGCTGTAAGATGGTTGCCATAATCACAACGTGTTGCTTACATGGGTTCTGCAAATACTTCAGCTGATTGATCTTATATAATACTTGTATGTGTATATATTTATATGTATGTATATAATATATATATATACATACATATATGTAAATTGTTAACCACTCTACCGTGGATATAAACATTTCATTCACCTGGACACCAGGAGCCCATAAGCATTTCAGAAGTAACTAACCAGCGGTTAACCGCTTCTGGAATCTTTCCTTATTAAAGAAAGAAGGGATGCTGTACTCATGCTGTTCATCGCGATTTCCCTTCCCTCTACCCATTAGTACACTCATGTTACAGCAAAAACTTAACGCATAGTATTCGGGGAACGTGAAATCGACTCACAAGGTGTGAGTCAAGGTTCACCAGAGCTCCTTTGCTCCTTTTCTTTTCTGTCTAGTCATCAGGGAAGTCACTGATAACCTCTCCAGTGAGCTCAACATTTAGTTTATGGACATGGTACTCTAG